AGAGCCTCTAGACCTGGAGTTCTGGGAGAGCCTCCAGCAGGGAGACTGGGAGGTGTCAGCATTTAATACAAAGCCCTAGATGGGAGACAAGAGGCCAGGGGCTGAGCCCTGGGAAAAGTGACCTTGGCATATGTAGAGGATGAGTGGGCAAGGGAACCCGGGGCTGGTGCTGGTTTGGAATTCAAGTGAGGAGAAAGTTTCTAGGAAGAGGGTCAGCAATCATGCCCAGGGCTGGGGGGGACTGAAATCTGGCTGCTGGATTTGGCAACCAGGAAGATTTTGTGACTGGGCGAGAGCAGTTTTGGTGAAATGGTGAAATTTTGTGTCAGTGAAGCTGGGTTCTGAGCTAGGACCCTGTTCCAAGATTCCAGACTGAGTAGGCCTAGCCCCGGGCCTGCAGTTCATGCTTTTAACAAGTTGCTGGAATGATTCTGACAGGTGCAGGCAGCACAGATATGCCAAGAACCTCTGGAGCAAGACGTTGTTCCCGGGTGAGCGTGTCTTACCTTTATTCCCCGGGAAGGTAGCTCACGGCGCCCTTCACGCAATCCTGGATCAGGCTCTCTGGATCCCACTTGGGCTTCAGGAAAGACCACCAAGGCCCCCTCCAAATACAGCCCCTCACTGTGCTTGCTGCACCTACTAACCCAGGAACACCTTCAGAAGCAGAACGGAGGGAGCGTGGTGGAACCCTGAGTTCATACTCCAACGCTCTCCTTGTCCTTTTCTACAGTTTCAGAAGCCACCTGTTTAACAATGTATCCCTATTGTTCTTCTGGGAATTGGTCTCCTGTAGGGATCAGTACTTCCAGAATGACCTCTCCCCTTTTTTGGGAATAAAGTGAACACAGCCTAATTTTTATTTCCTGTGTCTTTATCATCAACCACTCACAATTTTCAATTTGTACTTTCCTTAAATATTACGCTTCTAATGACACAAAAAGCGGATGACTCAGAGCAGAGGAAGTCACCTAGGAAGGTGATTTTGGCCCAGAAAACAGCGTGCAGACTGGCTGTGGGTGCCCTCAGCTGCCTTCCACCCTGTCCTGTCCTCTCAGCCCCCCAGCCTCTCCCAACAGCTGCCCATGTACCCACTAGGGACTTTCTGCAGTTGTCGGATTTAAGGCACAATTCAGCAGGGATTTTAAAAAGTCAGTGCCACAAGCTGTTTATCACAGCTTAATGTCGTCTAAACAATGTCTGTCTCTAGTCTCCATCTCTGGCATGGCAAGATTGTTGCCATCTTTGCTTGTGCAGCCAGCACTTGATTGCAGTACCAGCTTCTCCTCCTGAGTCTCCGAGCTATTTTTAAACATGCCATTCACTTGAGCTGTGCTTAGGGCCACGTTGTAGGGCCTTGAATGCAGTGGAATGCAGCGGATTTAGGAACAGACTTCATTTTCCTAAGAAAATAGCATTGAAATTCACATCGAGCTCGACAAAAATGACCTGCCTCATAAAAGAGAAAAGGCACTTATTTCAAAATGAGACATGAAGACTATTTTCATTCTAGTTGCAGGAATCACAAACCAACCGGGAAATGGTACAGGGAGACCAGAAGCTCCCAGGACGCTCCAGCTGCCCCAGCTACTTCTGCCATGCAGACCCTAGAGGCAACTCTAAGTCCTTTGGGCACCCGACCTTGTTTCATTTTAGTTTTGGAGAAAGTGTAGAACAAGGCTGAGTGTCCTCAGGCGATTTCAAGCTGAAACGCCAAGTAGATGCAGAACTCTGCCAGCTAAAGTGACACTCGTGGTCCTTTTTCTGTTGACAGTTCAGATTCTTTACTGTTAAACCCCTTCCAACTTTAAACGAAAAATGAACAGTATTGTGATATTATCAGGGATGAAAACAGGAGTTCTTCATGTTGTTCTAGAAGATGAAATTAAGTCTGTGCTTTGGGTTCATTTGCTATAAATACTTTGACAGCAAGAATCTGCATGAAACATGAAATGCCGTGAGGGATTTGCGTCTAAGCCTTTGATCTAAAATGTCGCAGGGATGACTCAAGCAGGTGGACTTCTGAAAGGGGGTGGAAGGCTGCCTGGGATGACGATTTGGACCTTCTTGGGAAGGTGTGAAGCCAGCCTAGGAGGCCAGCTTACACAGTGCGAGTGTCCAAGGCCTGGCTTTGAGAACAAGTAGGCATGTGGCCTCAGGGTGCTGTCTCCAGCTGACGAGGACAGTCCCATCTGTGTCCTCAAAGGCGGGAGGGGCACCAGGGCCCCGGGCCCTCCAAAAGGAGCTGCTGATGAAGAGGAATGATCTTGGAGTCCCCGTTCCCTGCCACTGCCATGCTCATCCCTCCCTCGGCCTCTGGACAGTGGTGGGTTCTGCTTTCTGTGTCACAGTGTGACCGTTCACGGGCTCACATGACAACATGAAGTCACAGAGAGATGTGCTTCGGTGAGCATTACTTTTCTCATAATGTTGGTGTTGTGTTAACAGCTACATGGCTGAAGCCATTCAGGCGGGAAATGGGGTTGGGGGTAACTCACGCCGTCTGTGGCCACCCGTTCAGTCCTATAGAGAGAGGACATGGATGGACCCATTGCCAGGAAAGTATTTTATTTACAGAAAAGGGACATCTTCTTCTTCTTCTTCCCTTCTCTTTCTTCCCTTCCTCCTCCTCCCCCCCCCTTCCCCACCTCCCCCTTCCTCTCCTCTTCCTCCTCTTAGAGACAGTGTCTCATTATATTCCCCAAGCTGATCGCAAATGCTTGGCCTCAAGTGATCCTCCTGTCAGCCTTTCAAAGTGCTGAGATTACAGGTGAGAGCCACTGCACCCGGCCTCATAGTCTTCTTATTTAAGTGACAAACAGGCCTGGCACAGTGGTTTATGCTTGTAATCCCAGCACTTTGAGAGGCCGAGGTGGGAGGATTATTTGAGCCCAGGAGTTCGAGATCAGCCTAGGCAACAAAGTGAGACCTTGTCTCTACCAAAAAAAAAGAAAAATTAGCGGGGCATGGTGGTGTGTGCCTATAGTCCCAGCTACTCAGGATACTGAGGTGGAAGGACTGCCTGAGCCCAGGAGGGCAAGGCTGCAGTGAGCCATGGTTGTGCCACTGCACTCCAGCCTGGGTGACAAAGTGAGACCCTGACTCAAAAAAGAAAAAAAAAAGACCAAGTGTCCTTAATTCTTTCTTCCATGGTTCCATGGGTGGGTACTTCCAGTGAATAAGATAGTATCTGTGTTTCTATGGAGCCTGGAGCAGTTTTTTGAGCCTGGGATTGCATGCGTGTTTTTTACACAGGGAGCTGTCTCCAGGGACACATCAAGGCAACTGTCCTTGTAGACGGCGTAAATCACAGGCCAAGCCCTGAGGTCTCCAATGTACTCTTTCTCTCAGTCGTAAGTCAGACTTTACTATAAACACTGCCCAGTCTCCAGCGGCTAAAGTGGTCCTGCACTTCTAGAAAACTTGAGCTGTGAAGTGGTAATGTCTTAAAATGCAATCACCCTAAACAGTGCCCATTTCGATCTGATCTAAACAGTGTCCATTGGTTGGGCAGGGACCCAGCATTTTTACTTATTTATTCAAGAAGTCATTACAAAGCAACAGAATTCTAATTCCCCATCTTCTAACTGAGCTCATATATTTGTTGTTTGTTTTCACAAACAATAAGACACACACACAGAACAAATAATCCGACAAGATGTAGAGTTCAAAGTGTCTCCTTTACCTGTGAGAAGGAGAAGCCATGGTGTCTGTCAGGCCTCTAGTCCGCCGAGCGGAAATCCGAGACTCAGGCTCCTTATCTACTTTTATGGGCATCTGTGTTTGTTACATGATGGTCAAAGTACAAGATTTATAAGTGACTGTTTCAAGAAACTGCATTTTTCAAAACTGTAAAGTAAGTTATTGCTATTATGATTTCATTTCAAAATATCAACTCTTAGGCTAAAACACAGGGAGCAAGTCTGTGGCTTTAAAGTCAGTCCTTGATGGGGAACCTACCTCTGTCCCTTCCAGCAGTGTCACCAGAGTCTCTGGAGAAACTCTTCGCTTCACAGAGCTTCTGAATGCACGGAAGAAATGGTGTACCAGAAGCCCTTGGTTCCCAGGGCACTCTGCGCATGCTGCTCCTGGTCGCTATTTTTAGATGAGGTTTTTAGTCAACCTTTTCTAAAGGTTTTCAGCCCCTCACCCAATGCCAAGACCTTAGAGAAGGAGTATGAGTGGATGAGGGCTGGTCGGGGAGCCTCAGAGTAGCGCCCAGGTATATTCAAGCAACAGGTGGGCTCCAGTGTCCAGTGCTGGGAAAAAACACCTGCTTTCCAGGTGCCGGCATGTGGACAGATGCCTCCCCTTGCAAGGGAAGGAATATGACTTCAGGGACAGGAAGCCCTATGACGAGAAGCTGCAGTGATTTCTGTCAGTGCTTAACTAAAAACCCCTTTTCCTACAGGGAAATCTTGCTTTCAGGCTGGTGGCACATATTTTCTGACTGCTTCTTCTGAAATATGCCCTGCAGGATGGCAGTGAAGTGTTCTTTGCATTGGCTGTGGCAGAAATCTCAGGACTATGGAGAGAAAGGAGAAGGTGCCATCTGTTTTCATAGGCAGCTTCCCCACGGGGAACCCTTCGGTGCTTCCGTGAGCACAGCAGTGTAAGATGTTAAAACACAGCATTCTCAGGGGGCTGTATTGTTCCGTGGTTGCTACATCCACGTGTACCAGCGCTTCTGCCTGGATTGCTAAGGAGCAGAATGGCTTTCACTGGAGTACCTTGAGGCTTCCCTGAGGCCCTGATAAGACAAAATGACAAAAACCCATGAAGAAAAGAAACAATAAGGCTCCCATGCCGGCAGATGGTAACCGGTACATGCTACCAAGGTGATTCTGTGAAGCTAAGTGGTGTCCCAGGGTTTAAACGACAGTGCTGAGAGTCTAACACACCAACTCGCTGTGACATCTGACAGTGATGGAGCAAGTTCCAAGCGGTTTGCAGGAGCCCCTTGTCATGTGCATGTGTCACATGTTGTATCTCTCTTGCAGGAAGAAGGCATTGTGAAAGAGATCGACATCAGCCACCATGTGAAAGAGGGATTCGAGAAGGCTGACCCCTCCCAGTTTGAGCTGCTGAAAGTCCTGGGACAAGGGTCCTATGGAAAGGTAGGTTCCCTCTCTGCCTGGCCACGACTGAGTCTCATTCCCAAACATGAAGGAGCTATGGGCCGAGCCCACCTAGAATCACAGGTGCTCCTCACTCGCAAGGTTCACTCCTCGGGACCCCTGGTGTGTCGTAACCCGGGCCTCCCTGGCACAGCTGGAATCCTGTTCCCACAGGACTGTGCCAAGCGAGGGCCACCTGTGTCCCGGAACGGTCACACACATGTGCTCTTCCCCTCCCAGTAGCCTCCTGGGCCTTCAGTCTATCACACGGTGAGTAGATTAGTGACCCTGAGTTAGTGTATTCTTGAAAGCACATCCTAAGAGCTTTCTATTTCCGAAAGAAAGGAAAAAAATAAGAGAACAAGAAAAAATGGCACCCCCCCCCAGACAGGGCTGTGTGATTTGTTCAGGAGTCAGGAAAGGCAGGGGCTGCAGTCGGCCCCTTCCTCGCCCACCGTGTCAATTGCACAGTTATTTTGCCTTTTGAAACCTCGGTTTCCCCATCCATTAAGTAGAAATGCTATAACCTTTGATACATAACTATTCTGTAGATTAAACCAGGCGTGAGTCCCATCCAGCAGTTGCCTAAGATGTATGCATGTACTGGAATTGTTCATCTTTTTTCTTTTTTCACCCTGAGATGACAGCAATAAAAGCTCATTTATTTCAGGAAATGAGAACTATTTGGCGCTTCCATTAATGCCACATCCACATATAACATGATGTCAATAATACTTCTCGATTACGATGATATATGACTGGCATCCACACGATGCTAATTTCTCTGCAGCCATGGTGTTAGCTGTTAGAAATATACAGGCTCTGACAACTTGATTTCTAGAACATAAGGGCTGGAAATAGACCGTGAAGCCAACCGCTCCTTCAGTGTAAGCAGAACAGCCCTGGTTCTTCAGAGTAACTATTTTTGTGTGGCACGTGGACATTCACCACATCTTTGCATTTTTCACATGACTTTGTGCCAATGAGAAATTGGACTCCTGCTGGGTTAAGTGTAAAAATGAGTAGTATGCTAGTGGTCTGGATAATCTCCTACACACAGCATAAACCGGATTGTTTGCTCAAATTATCTTTTGTTCTGTTTATCAGGACACATGCTAATGTGGTGAGGAACACATATTTATACTGATGTATTGACAAGTATGTTAGGTTGAACCACAGGAAATTGCTGGTATTTAATGATTTTTGGCCTACAAAAATGGCTCCTTAATATGGTTCCCATGGTGTTGATGGAAGCAGGGAAATGAAAATGCCAGTCTCTCATAATGTTCATCATCATCACTAAAAACACAGAAGGCAGAGCTTGTTTCATGGAATAGAGGAACGTCTGGTCATTGATTAGAAATGTAGGAAAAAGCCAGGCTTGGTGGCTCAGCCTGTAATCCCATGCTTTGGGAGGCTGAGGTGAGTGGATTGCCTGAGCCCGTGGGTTCAAGACCCGCCTGGACAACTTGGCGAGACCTCATCTCTACAATAAATCAAAAAATTAGCCGGGCGTGGTAGCGCACACCTGTAATTCCAGCTACTTGGAAGGCTGAGGCGGAAGGATCGCCGGAGCCCAGCAGGTCAAGGCTGCAGTGGCCGGGAGCGGCCACTGCACTCCAGTCTGGGAGACAGAGTGAGATTCCAACTCAAAAACAAGAAATTTAGGAAAAAAATCAGAGAAGGGAATAATTTTTTCTCCGGGATTTGCAAACAGACCAGCAAGGGTACTCTCCCTTTACTGCCATTCAAAGGGAAAACTCTCGCTTACATGTTGTTTCTTGAGTACAAGTTCAACCCACACAAGCATGCCGGTCTCCTCCTGGGGGCAAGAACTGGACTGTGCCTCCCAGATGGGGCCCAGGAGGCGTCTGCTGGGTTTGGTGGACTGGCCTTATCATACTCTGGTGCCTCTCCAGCCCTGCCCCAAGGTGGCAGCACTTGTATGCTTCATGACAGGAGCTGGGAGCACCTTGTAGGCTCCATGGGACATGGAACTCAAACCTGAGAGTCCAGATGTCTCCTTAGTCTCTTAATCAAGCAAGAACCACTTAGAAGAGAACTGGGGAGTTAGAGATGAAAGGAGAAAAGCATTTTCCAGTTCTCTCATTCAAATAATTTTGAATTCTAATTTTACCCGTTTAAAAACTTTCTTGGTTGGGCTCAGTGGCTCAGCCTGTAATTCCCAGCACTTTGAGAGGCTGAGGCGAGAGGACTGCCTGAGCCCGCGGGTTCAGGACCAGCCTGGGCAACATGGTGAGACCGCATCTCTACAATAAATAAAGAATAAAAAATTAGCCAGGTGTGGTAGCGCACATCTGTGGTTCTGGCTACTTGGAAGGCTGAGGCGGAAGGATCATCAGAGCCCAGCAGGTCAACGCTGGGGTGGCCATGAGTGTGCCACTACCCTCCAGCCTGGGCAACAGAGTGAGACTCCAACTCAAAAACAAAAAAACAAAAAACTTTCTTTTGGCCGGGCGTGATGGCTCAAGCCTGCAATCCCAGCACTTGGGGAGGCCGAAGTGAGGGGATTGCCTGAGCCCATGGGTTCAAGAACGGCCTGGGCAACTTGGTGAAATCTCATCTCTACAATAAAATTTAAAAATTAGCTGGGCGTGGTAGCACATGCCTTTAGGCTACTTGAAGGCTGCAGCATAAGAATTGCCTGAGCCCAGCAGGTTGACACTGGAGTGGCCGTGAGCGTGCCACTGCACTTCAGCCTGGGTGATGGAGTGAGACTACAATGCAAAAAAAAAAACAAACTTTCTTTGGAAAACAACAAGTGGAATCCCAGTGTCTGGCAGAATCTCTGTGGAAGGATCGCATCCATAACACTCTGTCTTGTCCTGCCCCTACTTTTCGCCACTTCTAATTTTAAATTTGCTTGTGTCATTTTTTATATGAGGAATTAAAAAGTAAAGTTCAGAGATGAAAAGAAGGAGAAAGCAAGATGAGGCGGTGGCCTCTCTTGTAGGAGTTTGACCTCCGTGGCTTACAGAACTGGCGGACTCCACCAGTGCATGCCAAGAGCCAGTTGTGGGACCGAGTCAGCAGGTCAAGGCTATAGTTGGCATGGGAAGCCAATTTCAGGTCTGCATGTTGGATTGATGTGTCCAGAACTCTAGAAAGAAAAGACGTTACCCTTGAAAGCATCAGACTTTAAAATAAAAATTAAAAGCAAACAAACAAAAAAAAGAAACCATCACTCAGACATTCCCTAGGAAAGGCCAAAGCCAATATTAGGCACTAGACAGACACAGATACAAGTTGGATTTGTCCATGCGGGATTGTTTGTGGAGAGTTTTTTATGAAAGCAAAACTAATGACCAGAGGTGGAAAAGCCATATGTTCTAATGCCCTATATTACTGTTTGTATTCCTGGACTCAAAGTAAAAACACTATATCCTTACGCAAGAATAATCTTCCTGCTGGGCATGGTGGCTCACGCCTGTAATCCTAACACCTTGTGAGGCGAAGACGAGAGGACTGCTTGAGCCCAGGAGTTTGAGACCAGCCTGGGCAACACAGTGAGACCTCGTCTCTTAAAAAAAAAAATCAGCCAGGGTGTTATGGTGCGCACCTATAGTCCCAGCTACTTAGGAGACTGAGGAGAAAGGATCATCTGAGCCCAGAAGTCTGAGGCTGTGGTGAGCCATGATCATGTCCCTGCATTCTAGCCTAGACGACAGAGTGAGACCCAAACCCCCCCAAAACACAAAAGGCATCTTCTTTTTGTTACCTGAAAGGGAAGAGAATGGAAACAATGCGATTTATGTACTGGAGAAAGCTCATGTTAGACAGGGCCCCACCTCCTGCCTCTGCTCCAAAGAGCAAGACCTAGTGTAAATCTGGACTCAGTGTTCCCAGGATAGACCTCGCCTGGGAGCCAAGTCCCCCAACGGGGTCATGTTCCCCCGTCACCCAGCCCAGCGCTCCATTCTTTCTTTCTTACTTAATGGCCAAAGACACTGGGAACTCAGAAATGAATGCAATGCAGTTTCTGCCCTTCAAGCCTCTGCACCAGCACCAACTTCTGGCTCCAAACTGCTCCCAGGAGCTGTGGGAGTGATTGGCACCAGGCCCAAGGGCGAGGCCCTAACTGGTGTTCTCTGCAGCATCTCCCTCTCTCTCTTCATGTGCAACCATAATGAGATTGTTCCTCCAGCAAAAACCACACTGTAAAAAAAAAAAACAAACCCGGCTGAAGCATACTGTGCCTGACATCACACACCTCCAAGCTCCGTTCTGCAAAATAAAGCCTCTGTAACTGCAGGGATGCCTGAAGAGGGGCCATTGGTGGGGCTTGGGACAAGAGAAAGATGTGCAAAACAGCCTTATTCTAAGAAAAAAGAAAAAGGCATTTAAAAATCAAATTGGAGATTGAAATGGCCAAGATGACCAGGTGTGGTGGCTCACACCTGTAATCCCAGTACTATGGGAGGCCTAAACTAGAGGATTGCCTGAGCCTAGGGATTTGAGACCAGCCTGTGCAACTTGTCAAGACCCTGTCTCTACAATAAATTTTTTTAAAAAATTAGCTGGGCATGGTGGCACACACCTATAATTCCAGCTACTTGGAAGACAGAGAGAAGGATCACCTGAGCCCATCAGGTTGAGGCCGCAGTGGCTGTGAGACTGTACCCCAGCCTGGGCAACAGAGTGAAACTCCGACTAAGAAAAAAAGATGGCTGACATGAGGCAGCTAGAGTGAGTTCCTCCTGCAGAGTAAACCAAAATAGAGTTTCCTCAGCATTCAGAGAGGAATGGATTCAGCGGCACATCCCACAAGTCTCCACAGGAGTGGCAATGACCACTCAGAGCGAAGAAGAAAACAAATCCACCAACCTGTGCTTGAACTGGCTGGACTGTTGCCGGCACCACCCAAGTCCACCACAGCCTCCAGACGCAGCAGGGAGGGGGAGTAACTGGAACTTGGGAGTTCTGTGGTCCTGCCGTGAGCTTGCAGGTTCCCAGGCCTTCTAGGGCTCCAGTTCCTCACA